CAATAGTTGTTACATAGTGCCAACTAACACTAAGAAAAATGCTGTTGTTTTAAGTTAATCTATGATTTTTATAAAATGAAGAATTTAAAGAAACCGATTCTGGGGTTACATTACCATTTTGTTTTCAAAAACTTATTAATTTTATCAAGTATTTAAATATGGAGATAAAAGTTAGCTTTGTTGCATACAGTTTTAGCACTGAAAATCCTACCTTTCTTTTATCTCTGCTAGGTGTAAATATCTACAGAAAAAATAATTGCTAAAACTAATTAAAGGACAAAGAAATTAATTTAATTTTGATTATCAATTCCAGGGTCACCATGGAGAAGATAGAATCAGCACTGGACGTGCTATCACGCGCCGCGACCATGGTGCAGCCTTGCCCTGCCTATCCCGCCAGCGATTCCGACAGCTTCGGTATGTAATGATTACTTCTTTAATGTCATTATTGACTAACGCCACTGACAACCGTGTGTACAAAAAAACTGAGAATCCAAATTTCATTTAGATCCAATCAAACGTACTAGACTTAAGTTAAGAAATCCATACAAATTATTGCCTTACCCCTAATGCTTACCGTTATCAAGAGGAACGTATTTAGTGTTAATCATTAACCTCTTATGCATCGTTCGAAACCTTTGCTGTGCGCACAATAAATGAAAATGTAAGATAGTAGGCGACATTAAGACAAAAAATAAGACATATTTTGTTTTTATGTGAAACGGGGGCCATACTATTGTCTAAAGAACTATGAGGTATGTCGTTAATTATACCATATATCATGATGTTTGAGAATTACCGACAGTTGGGAACGATAAAAAAGAACGCGGAATGTGCTACCACATAGCCCAATAAGATTAATGGCGGTCTTAACGCCTACCTACAGATCTTTGTTGTCTTTTTATATGTCCGAGATATGATACTGGTTTGTTTGTTTTATAAAACAATAATGTTTATTTTAGAATGATCGCTTACGGCCATTAAATAATAATAAAATAGGGTACGAATACAAAGTTTAAGTTAGGAAATTTTTAATGACAACCTGTACACCTGCAGTAATAAAGAATTGCAGGTGTGTCCCAACGAAGCGTATAAAAATTTGACAAATAATATCAATATATTATCAGGTCTTTGAACTTTATTTAGTTGTAGACAGTCACTTTATTTATCTGTATTTGCTATTTTATGATAACGATTTTTTACGTTGGCATTCCTGTTCACATTTTTTGACTAATTCTTAGATATTTTATAAGATTTATTCAACCAATCATGTCCTATTAATCACCTTTTCCTGTATAACAATAGTACCTTTATAAACTGTTTACCTCTGACTACCCCATTATGGCGCAATAACCCATCTTACGCATTGCCATTAAAGCCAATCATCAATAAGTATTATTATGATTACGTCATGGTGCATAAAGAATACAGACAGTATTGATTAATAATGGTAACGAATCGTCTAGGAATCCAGTTGTATAGGGAACACGGCTAGTAGCGGGATGACGGCCTTGTGCGCCACGCCGCCACATTCCACATCACAGCTGACATTGTTTAACGACCATCCGCCTTTATACCAGGCTTATGTTTTGTACCGTATACGAGTACGTAGACTTGTTGCCGTTCCTGACCTAAATACATTTTGATAATGTTTAGTTATTTCATGAATGTAATAAAGAAGCGAATGATTTATTGAATTTAAAATTAACACTGCAACCCTGATCAGTGTTGTACATTGATAGCTTTAACGTTGATTGCTTTGCTATATGCGCATCGCAGAACTATTATTGAGATAAAGTTAGGGGAGAGAAGTGTTGGTTCACTGCTGTCGAGCTATTCATCCATCAGCAGCTGTTGCCGCGTGTTCCACTGACAGTTCTTTTTGTTCAAATATCGCTAACAATAGTTCTTACATAATGAATTTAGGGTCCGTAACGAACAAAATTCGTGGTCAGTAAATTTTCAACAATGCGAAACAAATACAAGTCGCAGCGGCTTTAGCTGAGCGGTCGCAAGCTTCTGCCGAGTTAAATAACAATGGATGCCATTGTTGAATCGGACTGGTTTCGCGATAAGGCCTGACGATTTCAGCGCCCCTCTCGCCTCACAGCCCCGGCCCCCTCCTCGCCGGCGTTCGGTCATCGCGACGATTGTTATACACCTCGGTGTCTTTTTTCTGTCGTTTCGACTAACCAGTTTCGATAAATCGCGTTCTGGTCCCGGCCCACGTCGGGGTTTCGGATCGCATCGCAACGATCACATTAATAAGCCCGTTTCCCCTCTGCCGACTGACAATGGAGTTAAATGTCGACGAGAAAGCAGAGCTTTCCGACAGCAGAAACGAAAGCATAGACGAGAAACGCGTCCCGCTCGCATTTCGCCGACCCACTATCTGCTATCCGGCCGCTTCATACACTTCGCGATCTTCCGACATTACGTTCGATACTTGGACTGAAACTTCCGCATACCATTACAATGATTCGATGAGGTTCGTATAACAAAAATATACGAAGTGTGTAATGAAAAAAACATAATGAATTTACAAGCGACGAGACTTCGCCGAAGCATGACGATCGAAATCAAATCTAAACATAATTAAATGTATCGATTTGTATAATTATAGAAAGGCATGCATACATTATGGGCATAATCAAAATACGATCACGCGACGCTCGGCGGTGATGTAGTCTTGCCGATTGGTTGTTTACAAACAATGGTCGGATCGCAAATAATTATGCAATGCGATGACAGAACGCGCGCCGCATCGCAACTTACTTTCGATGGTCGGCGTGCGTGCGCATGCCCGAGCGACACCCGCTCTGCTGTCAAACGCCGAGCAGAGAAAGCGCTCAGGAATTTGGCCCGCCCGGCCCTGACGATGCAAACGTTACCGATGAACGCCGCTGCAATCGCCCGCGCATTACTCAATGTAAACGAGCATTTTCACTCATGTCATCTGTTAATCGTTTTTTTTTTTCAAACTTCCTTGACAAATACTTCACCGGTCAGTTACATGTTACTGGCTGTTACAGAAAAAAATGAAACAATTTATTAGTACTCAATAAACATCAATCCTCGCATGCTCGGTACATAGCTGTGTATAAATGTAACGCCTCGACGTAGCGTCGGATGTTGCGTCTCGAAATGGAATTTTATTGTGAATTGTGCACGGATGAAATTGGCGTGCGAGTCTATATCCGGAACGCTGAGGCGGCGTGTTACGGTTTCGAAAAGAATGCCGAATGTAGGTTGTGCTGCCGACTACAGTTACGAACGCTGTGAGGAATGCAATTATCGATCGCTATTGTTGTCAAAACATTGTTTTAACTACACCAATTCTAGATTAAATATTATTCACACAAAAAATTAAAACTGCGATAATAAGGCTAAAGCATAGAGTCGTAAAGCGACTGAATCGTATTCTTCTGCAAGCAGCTTCTAGAATATGTAAATACCGCTGTATATTTAAACCCCAAACCAGGAAAAAAGAAAATAGGTAAATCGTAACAGGAGGTAATTGCTTCTAATGTCAAGATATCTGAAACTTGTAGCGTATACATGAGTCTAAGCACTAAGTTAGTAAAACACCTTTTCTACTAAACTCGGTGTTATACAGTTCGTTTTTCATATAAGGTTACGGACTACACGGACGCCTACTCTATAATTTTTTTAATATTTCAGCCCACATCTTACAATTTTGTAATTGACCTTTATCAATGCACCGTTTACTTGTATCGAAAAGTTATGATATGTAATCGCGTTCATATACCCCCGCGCGCAATTTAGTCATTGAGAGCAGAATTTCTAATGGCAATGAATTCCATTTGGTTGGCACTACAGCGAGTGTGCAGGTATTCGAAGTATTCGGGCCGTCTCGCGTATTGTCTCAATCATGACTAGCGATCGTTTTATGTTTGAATGTATATGAAATCAGCTAGAATGTCGATATGTAGATAAAGAATTCTTCGCAATTACTCACAACACTTTAGTGGAATTGCATCAATTCTTATCATACTGGGAACTTAAGTAATAGGCTGTTTATACGTACCTATACTTAATATGACAGTAAGAAATGCTTAGTCCTTGTTTAACGTATGTCTATAACTTACAGACGTCCTAACAAAATTATCTGCAACGATGTTACCAAGTCTACTATGTATAGAAATGCGTTATTTTAAACTACTTTAATTACAATCAATTTTAAACCTAGATGAAGTTAATTTATTTTGCATTAATGTAATGGAAAGTTAAAAGTAATCCAAAACAAAATTAAAATTACTATTGGTTAACAAGACATATACTAATCATACTTCTTACTAATATTATAAATGCGAAAGTTTAGATGAATGGATGGATATTTGTTAGAGTTTGTAGCCTAAACGGCTGAACGGATTTCGATGATATTTGGTGTAGATATAGAGGATAATCTGGAAGAACACATAGGCTACTCACTTTTGTTTTTTTTTTAAATTCCACGCAGACGGAAGCTAGTACGCTATAAATCAAAAATGTCTAAAACTCATTAACATCTGAAGTTATTGACTATAAAAATGAGAATTCTACAGATATTTTGTTGATTTCACATCGTCATTTGTTCTCATACGTTCTATAAGAGTCCCTTGAAAAGTAATAAGTACCTAAAACAATTGATTGCGAACAAAAGAAACTAAGAGAAGGGATCAGAAGTAAGCGACCTTCATGGTATAGCGCCTCACCAAATTATCTGTCCTTTAAATCTAACGGTCATAGCAACTGACGCCTCTCTCACGCCACATCGCTAGTTGGTATATTATGTAAATTTTGTAATTTTAGCTACTGTTGTATGCGCTTACAATCATAATCTTTTTTTAATATGAAACTTATGTTTTTAAACATGTTTGAGTACTCAGATTTGTTATTTGCTCATAATGTAAGTAAATTGTGCCTTGTTCTGTAATCTTAAAAACAGTAAAAACTTCGATGGTTTTTAAAGATTATAAACCAATTTAAAAATTACATACCCGCTCAGCTCGTTTGCCATCTTTAATATCATAGGAAAGGAATGTTAACCTCCAAAGGTTTCAAATATTTGGCTGACCTCTGCGTGACGTTATAGCGTAGGAATCAAACGTGAGTCCGCACTGTTAAATCATCACCAGCGCCGATTTGCGCTTGCGAAATAACCAAATACCAGCATTCATCGAATTGCGCTTTGCCAATTTACAGCAATTTCAATTAAGAATTAAAATTCCTTAATAATTTTCAATATTTTCCTGCAAAACCGCATTTTTCCCTGGAATTAAAAATTACATTAATTATTTTCATTATATAGTAACAGTGAAACTATAATTAAGACAATGTTATTTGTAATGTAACGTCTCTTTGGACCAAGGTAAAGGTATCTTAGAAAAAAGCAAAATCCAATGCGGTTTTCGAGGCAAACCGCCCAAACATTCCGCTCTCGTGACCTTTACGTTCCTAATTCAAGTCATATGATCTTAATATCTTTGACTTTTTAATTCTTAATAACTCAATTTGTTGTTTAAGCGAATTAAATGTTTATTGTATACAGATTAATTGTAATCGCTTTTAGCTTCTTAGTTCTCCTTAAATATATCGCACTACTAATGAAACATGCTGTAAATTGCATTCAAGTTTTTTTTATATAATATAAGGTGGCAAACGAGCAACCGGCCACCTGAATCCACCGAAATGAAAAGGAACCGCTGCCCATAAAGATCCGCAATTGCAGATGCGTTGCCTACCCTTAATTGATGGAGAAGGACATGCACATAAAGAAGACATTTCCCTTCCCTATGCGTCTCCACCGTTCCACCACAAATCTCCTTTTCCTTCCCATCCTTTCTTCTTAAGAAAAGGGAAAGGGACTAAAATTAGGCCTCCGGGACCACACTCATCAGACGAAACGCGGAATTGCTTCCATTTCACGCCTGTTTTCTGTGGTCGTGGTATTACACCGGGCGAGCCGGCCCATTCGTGCGAAGATGTTAAAGCGGGCTCTACCACTGTTAAGTTTGCAATTGTCAACGAGATCTGAAAGAAACATAAACTTCGCTATAAGAGCTTTGAGCTTAAATGTAGCTGAAGATAGAAGCTAGCTAGAAGATAATTTGAATGGGATCATTTATTAATAATTAAAACGTTTTAGCGAAGAGCTAGTGAATTCGTTTATCTTATCAATAGAAACTCATCGTACCGAGAATTAATGTAATTTCTTATTCATTGCGTTCAGATGAAATATTCACATTGTTTGTGATATTTACGATAAGGGCTATTGAAATAAAGAAATACGACTTGTTTGTTATTCATATTTAAATAGTTTCTTTATCAGTATTTTGTATGTTATGTTAATTCTACTATTCATGTGTAGATGTTGGTCTTGTTACAAGTTTATCGTTCGTTCTCATTGGACTACTGTTCGTATAACTTGTTAAAATATTATACTATTTTTGTAACTAGTTATTTGAAGGAATACTTTTATAATGTTTTAATGTCTTTAGATTACTTTTGTTAGATACAGTCGAGGAAGGATATTTCCTATACATTTCGGTTTTAGATAGAAGACTTATCTTGATGAATATACATATTATACGCGACATAGATCTCGCAACAGACGCCAAGTTCTGTAGCGTTTGCTTAGTGTTGTGTGTTGCGGGCTTTATATTGATTAGTGACTTAATGTATGGTATTCGATCATCTTACTTCTTACTAATATGTTAACGAAAGTATAGATGGATGGATGGATGTTTGTTTGACTTTGTAGCGTGAACGGCTGAACGGATTTCGATGAAATTTGGAATAGATGTAGAGGTTAGTCTCATTATTTTTGTATTTCACGCGGAAGGAGTCTCGGGCGCAAAATCACTATAAATCTTTGATTGTACTAGATAATTTTAAAATACATCAATTTAAATAAAAAAAAGCCTATGATTAGTTAAACCTTGCAGCGTTCTGTACCTAAAATATATTTGGCGTAATACTAGTGACGTTATGATACGAGATATCTTCGATAAAAGTTCCACATAGGGTTGCTTATCGAGGTGATGCAACGGTGTCAGGGCTGCCACGTACGACCGCTACATGGTGCTTTGTGATGCAACCATGAAGGTTACTAATGCATCGTTTGTTCTGATACTGTAATCTAGGGAATATTTTCTTTTAAATATAATACATTTTAAAAATTGTGTTAAAGAAAGAAATCAATTTTTAACACTAAGTACAAACTAAATCTAATCTTACTCTATTAGATGTTAATTGTGAAAGTTTAAGTTACTACTACTAAGTACTAAGTACTAAGAAGATAGTCTGGAATAACACAAGCTACTCACTTTTTTTTAATTCCACACAGTTGTAGTCGCGGGCGAAAGCTAGTATAATATAAAAATAAAATTGTAATAATATAAAATGTGCAAGTTTTAAGTTACATCCTTAAGTCTAATTAAATAAAGGCTAAATCACTGGTAACACAAAAGTAATAATCAAGCAATGCATTAGTAATATATACATACAGAAATAAGTTTGTTTTAATATGATAAACAACAGATAAGAAAATACCGCAATCAAAATAATGACGTGCGTTCGACGCATCTGTCCGACGAAGACAAAGAGCAGACAAAGATGTTTTTGACACCTGTATAGTGTCAAAGACCTACAGAACCGAAACAGAAAATCTGCAAATGTCTTTTATTACTGGCAAATTATTATTGTTTGTATCGATTTATAAGTACATATTTTATGTTTTTTTTTAGTTTCGAAAACACTTTCACATTGAAATTTTATTAATAATTAAGATTTTATTTAGTTTATTAAAGGTTTTTATTCTCAACTTTTCCAGCTAATATATTACCACCTGATTTTCAATATTAACATCTATATTCTGTACAATGAATATATTACGAAAATCAACTGCTAGAAATATTTTTTCGAACTGTCATATCTGGTTTATTACCGTATTAAGAATCATTTTATAGTTATCAAGGGGTTCCTTAATTAATTTAATATAAGAAATTTACACTACACTTAATAATTCGTGTGTTATCAGTAGGCAGGTTTTAAACGATTCAGTATCCATAGAAACTGAATACAGGCAAAGGGGACCTATAATGTAATTTATGGAAATGTAATCCACTGTCTAGACTAGACCGTTTTATCCTAGTACGTCTGGCAGGAGGCGGCAACACAATGTTTACAAGGCCCAAGAGATCGTCCATTGTATGCGCTTGTTTTTTATCATTGTAAATAACCAAACTAAATTCATTATTCACTGTATCGTTCAATTGTTTTTAAATCTAACTTCTTACTAGTCTTACTATTATGAATACGAAAGTTTAGATGGATGGATTTTTATTAGAGTTTGTAGCCTAAACTTCTGTAGGGAAGTCGATGAAATTTGGCATAGACGTAGAGGGTAGTCTAGAAAAATACATAGGCCACTTTTGATTTTTTTAAATTCCACAAGGACGGAGTCGCGTGCGAAAGCTAGTACAATACAAGGCACTTGATACTTAGTAGGTACTTTAATGCAATGCTATGTTTAACGAATTATAGGATACAGAATAGATAAGAAAAGAATGTCTACTATCTATGAAAAATAAGGCCTACGCGGCAACTACTAGTTTTGGTTGTTGATTAAAAATTAACACAAGTTACCATTGTTATTGTTATCTCAGTTTTTGTTAGGAGAATGAACGGGATAGCGAAATATTTTTTGTACAATTGTTGAGCAGTGGGAACTTATAGTGATGTGTATGTGTGAGTTGTAATATTGAGGTTATCTTGTACATGCCAGTGTCGATACGAGACTTGAATAAATATGATTTTATAATAGGTCACATTGATAGAACAAGATCGATAGAGATGATAGAATTACCACTTTTATTCTTTGACACTTTTATTCTTTGACACTTTGAAACATTTGTTTTATTAACCGTGTAAAATGTATAGAATAATGTACAATTTATTCAACGTTAAATCATAATTGTGGGAGTTAACTATATTTAACAGTCTCACGCAAAACTAATAAACAGTTTATTATTTTGAGAAAGAACTGTGACGAGTAGATAACAAAAACATCATAACATAATTTAATTCGTTTGTGAAAACTCCCGTTGTAATTTGAAATCATCTGATATATGTTTTGCTGCTACCAACCTGGCAACCCAGTTAAATCTACAAGTCTGTTCTTTGCTACTAATGAAAAAAATCATCAACCAGTAACAAAAAGCAATCATTATCATAAATGAAGAACGGACCTCTACGACCCATTACTATAAAGGCCACGGTTAGTAGTTCAAGATCGGTAAAATGATCATATGATGAAGAATGACCTTTTACGTTGAATATTTATTAAGTTGGCAGCTTCATAATTATACAGGGCGTGCAAAAATTACCTGTACAAGGGAAGGCCACGAATTAATAATCTCAAAATCTTTATGGAACGTCCTGTATATTTTAAAAGGCTTATGGTTTTTTCACATGAGGGCAGTAAGGCAGAATAGGAGACAGGCCTGCTATTGTTTAAACGAATACTTACTTTGAAACCAGAACTGTATACCACAGCGTGTACATTAAACAATAGCAGTACTGTCTTGTTTACTGCTCTGTTTCAGTTTTCTACCCTCGTGTGAATAAAGCATTACTCTCTTTAAGTTCATGGCGCAGTTGAGTGCATCGGTACGCGTCCGTCATGCTCTGAGAGATCGCGGTAAAAACTTTAATGAAATTAAATTAATTGAAATAATCCATTTCGTTTACAAATGTTGAATCTTGAATACTGTAAAATCAATTACAATTGCATAAAAGAATTGCTGTCTCTACCTATCTCCCTGCGCCGATAATACCTTTGAAAGTGTCACTATAGATATTGTTTTTAAGACTGCAATGAATTAAAAGTAGGTATAGTTATTATCTAAAGTACTTATAAGACATAACCTGATATATTTTAAGATTAAATCATCGCTACACCTTGTTCTAAAATAAGAACAAGGTAGTTTGGTAGTTAGAGAAATATCATTGATTTTGTTTTCGTAAACTAAAGCTATACTAATTAAAATGCCCTAATTAAAAGTGCTATTGTCAAGAAATAATTACTTAACATCGTAGTTACACATTGATTCTCGCAATCCGAGCCCCTCGTATAATTTTAATTATTTTCCGACTAGGGGACGCAGGTGGCTTACATGTGGGCCTTCAAGCGAAGTAGCAAAGCTGTGCATTGTATTTGTAACTTTTGAGGGGAGATCTTTTGCCGTTGTAATGTATCAAATTGTAGATTATAATATATACGTGAATTTAGAATTTGTTTTAAAATAATGTTTATAACTAGCTGTCGCTCGCGACTTCATCCACGCAATATTAAGATAAAAAAAATATAATAGCCCGTCTATGTCAGCTATCCGTCAGTGAAAACCCGGTCGACATCGGCCCAGCCGTTTCGGAGATTCCTGGGAATAAATGCGGCTTGCGGACAGACAGACAGACAAGATAATTTTAAATGCGATTTCCGTTAACAGCAACGCAAAAAAATCTTCCTGAAATCTGGAATTTTCTTTTGTTATTACAGAGACTCCAATTTTGTTATATGTATAGAATATAGAAGATTTACTTAGTTTCATTATAATCAATCCGAGAGTTTGGAGAGTTATAAAAAAAAGAAGACACCATAGATTAGCTCCATCTATTGCATAATATGGGAAACATTCATCCAGAAATCGTAGACATCTAGATGGCGCTGTGTATGAGCTTGTGTGCCATTATAATTCATAGATGACGTTAATATAATTTGAATAGGAATTGATACTAAAGCTGTTAAGAAAACGTTTTATTTAAAAGCTTGATAACTTTATGTATCTGTGATTGTTGGACCACTAATGACGCTAATCGATACTTTTGAAACGGAGTAGATACAAAAAATATTCGATCGCGCTCTAAACAATGGACCGCTAATGCGATTTTCAAATATTAAATTTAATATCGCGATTGCAAACATGATTTAACATCGAACATTGATTTGGGACGTGACCAGGCGTTAGTTTGTGTCGTGTTGGTGTTGTGGGCAGGTGTTCGCGGAATGCGGAATGCTCACACTCGCCGCTCGCCGCTTGGTGCTCGCTTCCCGCACTTTCGCTGCAAACATCCGCCGGTCCTCGGCCACGCCGCTGTTATGTAAACTGGATGCCCTCTATTCGAATCCACATTTAGACAGTGTTATAAACTACTAAATATTCGGTAATCTTTACACGATACATTTTAAATAAAGCCTGACTTGATTTTCTTTTAAAAAGTCACAGTTAAAAAAACGAATTACACGAAAACTCATTCGCAAAGATCAGTTATAAACGTAATCGATTCTGTAGCCTAATTTAATCGAATAAAAACAACGAACAACTTCTGATGAAAAGAAGTTCGTGTCGTTAATTCGATTCAAAAGGTTGCGTGTGCTCAGTCCGATACATTAATTTTATCTGGAGTCCGCAGCCGTGAGCCTGCGGCCACGGACGGCTACTGCTACCGCACGCGAATACCGATTACAATATAATGAATACGATTAATCGAAAACGATGTATAATCGAATGTAATTCGATAATACTGGCCAGCTATAATCTCGATCGCTTAAGGGCTTAATATAAAATTATTTGATCACTTCCGCACGGACGTTCACATCCGGAATCTCATTCGGATTTAAATAAATTATTTTTATGGGAAACACGAATTTAAATATGAAATGATTATATTCAGAACTCTAACAAATGTTTAGAAACAAACGGACTAGTTAGTAACTAAGCATGTTTTAAAGAACAAACCTTAGTTTAACTTATTATGAAACATATTTTGATAACCTTTGACAAGTTAGATGTAATATTTTCGCGTCAATTTTTATTTAAGTATATATGGCTGAGCCTTTCGAAACTTTAATTAGCGGTCGAAACGGAGAAGCAACAGAACCTTTACTTATAAGCGCCTACAAGACTATGATATGGCCGGTCTAGTCGGCAAAATCTTGCAACATCTATTACTTTGGGTCTTCATCTTCATTACACATTTAATAGCATTTTTTAGACTGCAAATACTACATTTTCATTTTAGTCCTCATATGATGGATGTGTATAGAGTGTTTGATCTTTAGGGCAAATTGTAGGGTCGATATGCGTGCGGGTAAACATCTCTCTGAGCGGGTGTGCGTTTACTCCCCCGCGGCGACCCTACCGAATTACACACATCCTTTCTCGTCACATCACGATACCAAATGGAAAATACGTAGTACGACAGGGCTTTAATCAATTTTGATTCTAATGTTAGTTTCAAGTTAAAAAAGCAAGACCTGAGTGAGAACCCATTTATAATTCCACCCATATAGTGATTGAAGTCTTGTTTTGATTTCTATCCTTATTCTTGAAATCGGTTGTTTTCAAAGAGAATGAGAGCGATGACTATGGTTTTAGACAGTCGTCTATAAAAACTTTCAGTTATTTTAGAAAAATAATCATTTATTTAAAACGCAAATCTTAAAGCAGTACTTCTTTCATTTAATATTTAATCCAGACTTAATTAAAATAGAGGCGCCAACGCTTGCATCTACCTGTCGGCGAGCCTTTGCCTTGCTTCTATTATACAACTTAAAAAAACACTTAATGTCTATACGTAGCGGAGCGCGGCAACTTCTCACAGTTCTACTGCCCCCCCCTGTCCTCCTCTCCTCCCGCAACCCGCCTCGTAACTCCCAACCCAAATAAAACACAACCTTTCAAGGATACAACCACCGTAATTTAAAACACTAATCATTAACAGTTTTCGCAAAAGAAATCAAACTTTAACACAAACCAATACGATACATTTTGCAGTATCATCGTTCAAAACATGCAATTTAAAGTGTTCCAACCTAATTAGGACTCTAATGGCTATAGAATAAAGATGAATTTGTGCAAATAATAAGAGGAGGTTGCATCGGTGAAGAAAGGGAGAAGAGCGAAGAGGGTTCATTAATCCCCGCGCCCTGCGCTCACGCACTTTCATGAATGGACCGAACAGGTTGTTGTATCCCGAATACAGGATGTTGCATAAAATATAAAAAAAATGTTTTTACCATATCAAAACATTGTATTAATTGTGATTTTGATCTCTAAAATGCGTCCTAGTAACCAACACAACGTCTAGGTTTTTTTTTGGAAGTTTGAATGTTTTTTGGTATTGTCTTTCTTATGAGGTTTAAAAACAATAAAGGTTGATGGACTTAAAGTGTTTTAACAATGATGAATCAATAATATGAGGTGTGAATGGTCGACACAAAATTTGATTCATTGTGCCATCAGTCACTGAGTGGCTGAGGTCGTAGTTCGCGTGTTACAATTTATCGGCACATTTCCAAGTATTTGTTGCAACGATTTGCATTTTAGTTCAAGAGTTTGAACGGTTCAAGTTACCATTTACATATCTTTCACTATAGCACACGTCTTATGTATTTATTTATAACAGTATTATAATCATTATTAAATAGACTATTTTTAAGTTTAAGTTAAGTATAGTTTTTTAAAATAATTAATATAGATACTATAGCACCCTGTACAGTGCAGCGGCGAAGGAAGCGCCGCAACGTCCGGCCGCGTGGATGTAGCGTGATGCTCTTTTTCCTTTTCGGTTTATTTTTTGTTCATCTCATTTATTTATTCCAATGTAATCTCTTCCAGTTCGTTTTTTTTATTCAGTCGGCCTTCAGTGTTACCTGTGTCGGGACGCCAATGGGTAGTCCATTGTCGTTTGCTAAAATATCACAACTCTTTTTAAAAGTTACGTTCGAATTTGGCGCGTTTTTAAAGTGTTTTGAAAATGGAATGATTTAAATTAGTGATAGTGTGACTTTGACGTTGTTTTGGTATGATGGAAGTACCAGATTATTTGTTGTTTCTGGCTCGCACTTCGCTGAGCTGTGCCCAAAGCTGGGCAATGGATCCCCCACAGTCGCCCAAGTTTAATGTACCTATATGGCAGCCTTGGATACCATCGCCACAGAAAGGTATCATATCTTTAGCTGAATAAATGAAAATGTATACTTCTAATATCTGACACATTTCACTGTATAAGTTTCACTAGTTTCTAAAACTACGCTTTTTCATTATAAGATCCGTAATAAATAATGGTCGCTTAAACGGTATTGACCAATGTTAGAAGGAAGCAGAAGTTCATGTAACGTTCGCTTGGTTTTATACCAAATACATGTAATTTAAAGATATTAGGACAATATTTTTTTCAAACTTTGCCGGTGGCGTTTCCTTGCTTATTAGTAACTTGCTTCTTGTCGGGATGAAGCATTTCTATTTATGTTTACAATATTTATCGAAAAGATATCAATTTCTCTGCTTTGGTTTTTTGGGCGATTTAATAAAAAAAAGCCTTCCTTTGAACATCAGACATTAATCAAGTAAAGTAAAATAATTTTACTTGTACAATTGAGTTTTAATTTGTACAATTATTGTGGTCAAGAATGGCAATAATAATGGCATTATTGTTAGGTCAGATGTAATTATTAATTCTATCTTTACAGAGACTCCGAGCACAGCATCCAGCGGTGAATCTGAGGGCGACCGCACGCTGTCGCCGGAGACGCCTCGCGCGCAGTCAAAGGAGCTCACTGGCAAATGGAGGAGGGAACGTCGATCAACTCGCTTGCCTGATTATAGGCCAAAGTAAGTTTACTTAGTTATTTTTCGATCAAATCTTTAAAAAAATCATGTTAAACATTTCAGGGAAAAATGGGAAGTTTGTTTTTTATTCCAAATATTACTGTTAGCTGTGATCGCGACTTCGTCCGCGTAAATTAAAAATAACAATAAAACACATAGCAAGGCCAAGTAGTTATTGAGTTATTTTAATAAATATAAAAAATCAAAAATACAAATCTTCCCTCTTGATAATATTCACGGAACTCTCCACTACCTAAATCAATCCTGACATTGTTAACATTTAATTAAATTCTCATTCGCCTTCCAAACCAATCATAGCACACTTTAATTATGTTACCAATAACTTAAAACATGGTTATTTCTTTTTTAATTACTACACTTTTTATTTCAAGGATTGACCGATACTTTACTTTCGTTTTTAATATCGAATATCTTGTTTTAGAAAGGCATTTTACAATTTTAACTTATCGATAACGTATATTTTTCAGAGAGAACTGCAAGATGGCGTTGCGTTCACAGTCGTTCAACGAGCGCCGCGCCGCGCCCGCCGTGGCCCGCGCGCAGCCGCACAGCGACGGAGAACTCTCTGATGAAGTCGAGGATTCCTCCGCTATTAATGGGAAAGGTAAAATATTTACCACTTTCTACATTATTACTGAATCATATTTATGTATCGGAGTCCTACAAATAATTTTAAGAAAAAACCATAAGGTAATCGACTTTTAGACTAACCGTATTTGGCATTTATTTAGTTTTCTTTAGCAATTAATCAATGTTCATGTTTTATTGTGGTAAAATGTTCCTAAACAATATTCTATTCTACTAGTCGATTTCGATAGTGCGTAGTTAAAAAATCTAGTAGTAAAATTAGTATATGTTTAAGTTATTTAGTGATTATGTAGCTATCTTAAGAAGTGTTTGGCGGATGCCGAAAAATTATTTTTTGAAATCGATTCCAAAATTTATTAATTAGATAATATACAAATCGTTCCTCTGAATAAGAAATATAGATGAGATAAAGGTTTTTCTTTGTTAATACATAATAAAGACTATGTAACAATAATATATCGTGTAATATTCCAGCGCCACCGGAGTACCCGGGCAAGCACGAGGCGCCGATAGACATGCGGCTGCGGTCACGGCCAGCGCCGCCGCCTTACGCTCGCCCCACCGTCATCAAGACCAACGACACACCACCCGGTGAGCTCACCTCCTCTATGTATACCTCTCAGAGTCGTTTGATAATCACTAAGGTAGACCCCTAGTAATCACTTAGAATAAGAAGGCTTAAGGGCTCTCTGAACTTGATATGTATACTTCTATTAGCTTTCTTCCGCGACTCCATCCGCGTGGAATTTAAAAAAAAAGCAAAAGTCATGCCTATGTATTCTTCCAGATTACCCTTACATCAATGCTAAATTTCATCCAGATCCGTTCAGCCGTTTAGGCTACACGTAAAAAATCGATCCATCAATCCATCTAATCTTGCACGTTTGTAATATTAGGCAGATGTTTATCAGAAACGGAATAGAATTTCTTTATTACAATAAATATAAGAGACTAGCTGTCGCTCGCGACTTCGTCAGCGTGAAATAAATAAATGTTAAAAAATATATGTTACTCACAGATGAATTACCTTTCTAATGGTGAAATAATTTTAAATCGCCTCAGTAGTTTTTGAGTTATTTCAATATATACAAAAATACGAAAATACAAATCTTTCCTCTTTATAATATTAGTATATAGATGAACCAAGGAATTTTATGTACAAACGCAACATTTGTTTCTTAATGATACATTTATTACTATGTTCACATTAAATCTGCTTAAACGGTAAACAACTTAATTAGTACAGATAATGTTTCATTTAATAGTTCGTTAACTCATAAATGTAACATTGTTTTTTTGTTGTCTATTATTACTTTGAAATTTTGAAAAATGTGTATAGTGTTTTTTACACTTAAGATTTCCATAGAAGTAACAATAGGCAAGCATTGTCTAATTTTTCTAAATTAATACATTAGTACTCATCATCATCATCATCATCATCATCATCATCATCATCATCATCATCATCTCCTTATCCTACTCCCATAGGGTCGGCGCAACAGGTTTTTGTCCTCCACATAACTCTATCATACGTCATCTCAGTCATCACTCCCTTTTTGATCATGTCACCTTTCACACAATCCATCCATCTCTTTCTAGGTCTACCTCTACCGATGTACCCTTCCACACTCATAACTAACGTTCTCCTTGTACTATTAATACATTAGTACTCATTAGAGTACTATTAATTCTAATAAGAATTTACATATTCGTTATTCATTTTATACATAACTAGCTGTTGCTTGCGACTTGGTCCTCGTGAATTTAAAAAAATACACCCTTACTCATTGATAACGTTGCTTTTTAATGGTGCTTGATGGAGTGGATGTGATGGAGACTTTTCGGATCAATCGGCCTTTTTAGTTTTTGTTATTTAAATACATACAAAAATACAAATCTTTCCTTTTTATAATATTAGTATAGATTTATTTTTAATATTTATGTAAAACTGATATAATTTTCATTGTAATTACAACTTACGAACACATTAAAATGTGTAAGATGGTCAATAATTTTTTAATTTAATTTAATATAATTTCAGGTTCAATGTCGATGTGCGATCCCGTCATAGACGAGCACTTCCGACGTTCCCTCGGCGACGATTACATGAATCTATTCAAGAAGACGGAACAAGTTCAGCCCGGACCTAAACCTAACACCAAGGACAGAGCAAGCAGTCCCATATTATTCAAACAGGATGAACCTAAATCTACTAAAATCATCGCCATGGAGGTAGATGACGCTAGTATGTCGGTTGATGACCATTTCGCGAAAGCCCTAGGAGATACCTGGCGTCAAATACAAACTTCAAGGCAAAAAGAAGATAAACCACAGTCTAGTAAAGTCGTCGACGATCATTTCAGCAAAGCGCTCGGAGACACGTGGAAGAAAATACAAACATCGAAACATCTAGAAGAAAAACCTAAAGACCAAACTAAGATAATCTCCAGGAGCGGGGTTGTGATATAATGAACTGGGTCTAATAATAATGGTTCAGTCTTATTTTCGCGATTTGCGATCATGTTCAACTTTGAGGAATGAGTATTTATCGTTGGTCTTTGAATCCATGACAATTCTGTTACCTAACGGTTTTGGGGTATTTTAGTGTGGGTTTCCGATTTACAGAATACTTTCGACTTAATATTCATAGGATTTATGATTTCTTTTAACTTTAACGTATTCGATATACAATAAATACCATACTCAGACAGAAATTTGTTACTAAGAGTTCTTTAGTAGTTTGAAGTTTTATAAGGTGGTCCCTTAGCAGACATTTCAGTATCCTTATATTAAAAAATAAATCACAATAGAAATGTATATATTTGCTTTTTAAAAATGTGTTAAAATCAGTATAATTCGAATCTAGCTTAACCAAGAATACTTTCGCCATATTGCGGATAAATATGGAACTAATTGTCTTGAGTGTATTAGAAATAATAAAGACGATTGAAGCGCCCTCTTGTAGTGATTTTTGTATTCTTATGAAATAACTTGATTATCTTTGTATCGGGAACCCCGCGTCTTAAAATTATTGTTTTATGTAAAATTCGATGTAGTCATTTATTAGTCACCAGTTACACGATAAGTTATTACCTCAATTTTATGCGCTTTTGCACAATACACTATTTAGGTTAATCTATGTTAAGTATTTGTAAATAATAGCCGGTATATTGTATGGGTTATTTAAGCGACTTGCTAGATTTAGAAATACATTTCAAAGATATAAATACATAGATACATAATATATAAATACTTTTCTGATAAGACAATTTAAAAGAAAAATAGCTTTATTCTTACTTTCAAAAATCCTGAATAAGTCAAGATAACATCGAGATATTTAATTTAATTTTTAACAATGTAAAAAATATTTGAGTCTTTTTTATTCTCTAAAACGCATATTTATCATTGAACAGAAATTTAATATCAATTTTTATTGCTTTTAATTTTAGAGATTAATTTTAATTTTAAAAAATGTGATCAAAATTAATTTTTAATTAGTGCTTTATTTAATTTAGTTATATTAATTAATTATTTATCTATGTATTTACATCACTAGTTGTATATTTATGTTTATTTCTCGTTGCAATGTTCCTTGTGTATGTTTATATTCTAGTTCACGTGACTGCGTTTTCTGTCGATATATTTAAAATATTGTCTCATTTATTGTCTATGACAAAGAAAGAGACAAAACGTTTTACAAATATACGGCGGAATTTTACAGTTAAAGTTTGTAAATGTAAATCAACTGTGTACAATAAACTACAATGCTATCAAAACTATTATTTCTTTTATTTTTTAAACCTTTAACTATTACTAAGAGGAAAAAGCATAAACTATTAATTCGACGGAGGATTTTGTTGCAAAAAATACATGTTACCGACACACTAAAAACAAAATATCACGTTTTTTTCTGAAAACTATTTCGGTGTATTTTTTTAAATAAGTCGTTCGTCACACTTGACATTATCAAATTAAGGTTAGTTAAGGTTGCAGTTTGACGAAAATAGTTATATTTTAACTAAATTTATTTCTTGTATTGTACTTTTTTTCGTTACAAAACTCTTCAAATTGTTTTAAAATTTGATTTAGTGAAAGAATTATTTATTTAAAAATCGACAGAAAATTGTACAGAAATCAAAAATTGTACTGTTTTTTCTTTTGTTTGTCGCCATTTTAATAAACAATATCTATGGTCTTTGGGTATAAAGTATTCAAAAGCAATATACTCGTAATAATATATTTATTTATATTCAGCTATGTACATACAAACAAAATTCTTAGCATTATGAAACAAATTAACTTTAGCAATTAAATATTCTCCAATTCGACAATGTTCAGTGTGACTAACAAATTAAAAAAAAAAACTATTTCATTCTAAACATCACATTCATATTTCATATCCAAAAAATGCGTTTTTTCTACAAAAATCTTCGTCGAATTAAGGGCTAAAGCAATACATATTCTATTTTTACAAATACACGTATCACAAGTTTCTGGTACCACATTAGAAAGACATATTGTTATCTCATGTTTGTCAAAAAGAATGAGAGAGATAAGAATATGTCTTCATATGTTTTAGACAATGAAAACCGAGTTATATTGACAATTCGACGTAGACGCACGTAGCCGTTGCAGACTGGAACTCCGCCTCTCCGTTGCGTTGTTTCCGATGGTCGTCCAAATTCGAGCACTGAATTCGAATGGTGCTAGAGATTGTTCACTCTACCCACACATACGAATACAGTTGTCAAAATATGGACCGATGAATCTTGATACTTCAATATAACCTGAAACAGAGATTATTTTATTAGTTTTGAAAATGCAGCAATTCTTCGATCAACAATTTATAGTAAGTAGTAAAATGTTTATGTCGAAAACAATAAGATAACTAATTCATAAATACTATTGTCTATAAAGGCAATTTAATACAAACTAGACCTTCATTAATCACTGTGATAAATGTAATCAAGTCAGCAAAGCAATGAAAAAAATTAAGGGTGTTAAATTAAAAGACAATCGAGCGTAACATTTTATTGCTTGCGTCAGAATTGTCATTAGCAATTAATAAGAGGTCCACGTGCCTCCGACGACCGATTGGTATCGGCTTGCGACGTGACCCCCAACGCTGAACGCTTCCATTATTTATAGTTTCACACGAGGACAGACCAGTAGTAACAAACAGTACTGCTATTCTTTAAACTCACGTTTATTCTTATAACAGTACTGTTATATCTTGGCTTTTGTATTCAATTGTAATACTGCACTGTCCACTGCTCTGCATAATGGTTCTGTCATCGTGTGAAGCTAGCAGTACGCGTGCCCTGGCCCAACCTGTCCGGCGTATCGATCCAACACCCTCTCCCGGCTCTCACCCTGCGCGCCGCCCTCCAACCAAACCTCTCCCTCCGCCTAACTGAATAATACAATAATAAATTCGATACGAAAAAAGTTTACGATAACGAAAACATTCTTGGTATATGTTAACTTTATTTACTTGATAAATATTGGTAGATGCAATTATATTAATTGCTTTAGGGGGAAATGTCGATTTGTGCGAGCGCTTCGTAAATAACTTCTAAAAGTAATCATATTTTTATTTTAAAAAAGAACTGTAGTTCAATTTAACTGACTTTCGTCATCATCCGCGGCAATGTGAAGTTTGGAAAGAAAAAAATCTAGATAAGACAACGGGAGAGAATGTGCATAATAATTCAACAGATAAAACTCAGAAGTATCTTTATTTCAAGCCTATACTATTTCGACCGTACCTCGATTCAAGCAACAGACGCTTGCTTTACTCTCAAAGTGTTAAATATCGCTTTTGGACTTTGTAAAACATCGATACTTATTGTACCGAAGCACAATCAGTTATTATTATTTAGGCGTTATTTATTTCTTAGTTACAGCTCGTTATCCCGAGGCGGTACAAAATGGCGACAAGTCATTTAAAATGTATACTTCAATCAGGAGCCGTTTGACAGTACAGTTTAAAAGCGAAATAAAAAAGGGCCGGGGAATTTATTCATGCGAGATAAAATAATTTGATATTATAAAAGCCCTTTTCGTTTACGGTTTTTTTGTGTTCATTTTTAATTGAATGTTATTCGTAATTATTTCAGACTAGATGTTGCCCGCGACTTCATCCGCGCAGTATCAAAAGAAAAACAAAACACGCGAATTACATAATTAATTTAGCAAAATTGGAAAAAAATGTAAATTCCTGTTTCACCGGTTACCGGTCTTCAGCTGTAAATGATCCATAACCACCAAATACTAACTTAAACGACCGACATTCCTTAAATAACCTATATCCACTTGATACAGTAATTTTTGTACTTCTATTAGAGTATTTAAAATAATTTTCGCGTCGATATCCAGAATTGAATATCAATTTCAGACGTTAAATAATACGTATGAATATAAAGCGTATCGTATACTTGTAAAGGAATACGGTTGTCAACGGAGACTGGGGGAGCGTCCCGTGCAAACGTAACCCTACTCATACCCACTTGATGTGGGTATTCGACTAGAAGCGCCATATTTCTCTATAAGGAATTCTTATTCGGAGCTCCTTCGAGTTCATTTTATTTAAAAAGAAAATGAACGCGTCGTGTGACGAGAGCAGAGTAAATATTTAAAACGTAACTTTTATGTGAACGTTCGAAGTTACGGATTTTTCTTTCAGATTAACTCTACAAAAAAATATTATCATCCCTCTCAAGTTTGAAAAACCGTTTGAAAAAAAAAATTCTACAGCAATTTTAACAGTGAAAACGGACGTTAACTGACAGCTCCAACTGTCCGCTAAACGAAGATAAGCGGCAGTAACACTAATCTTCATTTGTCGGAGTATTGCATTCGGTGCAAGATCCATTCATTAACCACGAATAGAAAATAAAGCACGGTATTAAGACAAATTAAAAATGAATTACCTAAAAATCAAACGGAAAAGTAAAGACAAAATGGCGCTAAAATTCAATTGAAATAGTAAAACTACAACTCGATTTATGTAAATCCTAGATTTTATTTGTTCGTCTGCCGTAATCCGATTGTCTCATGAACTGTACGACCTTTGGGCTACAATAAAACCATTTTATACGTTTATATAAAGGAAAATTTCATCTGACAAATAGTTAACAGATATATTTCAGTTTTTATTAAAGAAAAGTCGTTATTTACTTCTAACCTAACCTGGTAGTTGTCCGCGACAATTCCTTTCTTTTATTTAAATAACAATAGTACTCATAACAGCAGCGACCTAAGACATAACAACAGCGAATAAAATACGACCTGAAGGTAGCCTAAAGCATCATTGGACTCAATTTCCCGGTATATTAAAGCGTTTACACACTGAATATCCAATATTCATGTAATTAACTTTAAAAGAGAAATTAAAGAGAGCTCTTAAAACGTCGGCTTCATCCAATTACCAATCCATTCGTAATGTATCAAGTTTTAACTAAAACGTGGCTCGGCCGTATACGCTCTCATACTAAATTAAAGTTTCTCGTCCGTTAGAACTTTGAACTGAACATTAGTTTAAAATTTAGTTATTGGAATTATGTCTAGTATTTAGATATAGTCGTGTAATTTTTATGATGGCAATAAATTGCGTAATAATTTTAAATCTAACCTAAAAATTATTTTTTCTATGTATCAAGTTAGAAATGAGATACTAACGTTTATTTATTTAGGTAGATAGAATTCACATTCGTAGTTTACACAAAGAACAATAACGTACCAAAGTTATTAAACAAACTAACTAGCACTAACTACATATTACACGAGTTCTGTTCTCGCTTCCCTTCTAGTGTGTTTCTTTAGTCTTTACATCAAATGTCTAATATGAATACATAGTTTTAGTAAATAAAATAGTGCAAGGAAATACTCATGATAACTCAAAGATTAATAGAGTAATAGAAAAGTCTTCTCTAAAATAATCCGAACATTATTAGGTTCATCGAAATCATAAATCATTTAAAGGAATTTAATCAGATAAATACAATTAAAAGCAATTGTAATAATCTATAGTACGTATAACTTAATGAATTGATACTAGGGTATGAAAAACAATCGTGAATCCAAAAGAACGTGAGTATATCACCACTACTCACGTATACAAGTCCTTTTACCACTACTATTGGAAAATAAACACATTATCACTGGGTGAGGTACACAGCTGTCACAAGACTGATGCTGTTAATCCCTGCGAGGATATTTAAAGTGAAGAGTAGTCACGCGCGAGGGAGCCGTGACAATTGTCTAGGTGCATCCTGTTGGTACACACCACATCTCCACAAAGGGTGTAAGGGGATACTTCCTCTAACAAT